GCTACCAGGAGACAATGGGGCTTGTCCTGTTGTATTTTCACAAGCACCCTGTGGAGCAGCGGAATCGGAGGAAATAGGTATAGAAAGTCGTGAGCCCACGACATCAACAGACCGTCCCCCATTGACAGAGGGTCCAACCCCGCTCTGGAGCAAAACCTGGGACACTTCTTGTTCAATCGAGTTGCAAAAACATCGATGTGGGGATGTCCCAGATGTTGAAAAAGAGGAAGGAGATACTTTGAGTTCAACTCCCATTCGTCTTAAAAAGTATATCTCATTGTCAATGGAGATTTCTGAAGATGTTAGAGGAACAGTAAGTAATTTTTCAAAGAGAGTGGAATCCACAACCCTATAAGATATAGCTTTAAAATCCTAAAGAATCAGGAAACAAATGTTTACTGTTGATCTGATTCCACCTGGATATCAAATAGAACCTAAACTGGGCATCTCAGAGAACCTTTTCAGAAGCAACTAAGAATATGTCTACATATTGATAAATTTGTACTTTCGATTTCATATTGTCTATTTTTGTCACATTAACCAAGTTGAGATTAAAAGACTCTAATTTGTACATTTTAATATAAAGAAAAACATAAAATTTAAGGCCTGAAGCAAAGCTCTAAGAGTGTACAGAACTCCATTCACAAAAGCCCTCCTGATTTAAACACTACAGACTCTTTCCCAGACAGTACTTAGAATATGTAGCATTTCAAGCAGCTTTCACCTTTCACACCCAGAGGTTTCCACTTTATGAAGATCACAAATTTGACTTAAAGAGTTATAATAATAGTTTTCTCCAACACTACAATTATCTACTGCCACCCAAAACATGCACTAAAGTCTCTGTTTCAAAAAAAAGAGGATGTTATTTGTTTACAGTATACAGCAAGACTCAGATGTAATTTTAAGGTCAGGCTTGAGCACCAACAAGTAACACCTTGCAAGAGGACAGAAAATTCAGAAGTAAATATTTACTCTGCCAAACCTCACTTGACCAACCTTTAAATGAAAATTGCATTGTTAAGTGAGATAATGATCACTGGAGGGCAAGATACAGCAGTCAACAAAAATGGGAACTGGGCATTTATCTCACCCCTTTAAAGGACCTTTAAAGCTACTAACCATTATGATCCCAATACAAAGACATCTTTACCACAATGTATTGCATCCTACTAGCTTTACCTCTGGTGCAACAGGAAGGGGAGCGGCATTCTTGCCCTCCTCCCCTCCTTACTGGAACCAATGTTCCATGCGGCTTTTTGTCCAGAGTCACATGATTTACCTATGTAGCCTTTGCAGTTGTTACAAGCAGCCCCACCACAATTATCAGAAAAGATAGTAGGATCCAACCCAATACCAAGAAAAAGAAAAGAAAGTTTTAGAAACATACAAAAACACACAGAGAAGAAGAATACAGCAACAGAGAAATAGAAGAAGTCGAAACAAAGTTCCACATCATTTTGGAAGGGGAGGAGGCAATAGAAAGTTTCAGGGACAGCCATACATTTACTGTCACATCCAGATTGATGCTGAAAACAAGTGAAGCAACTATGAGAGATAATTTGGTATTTAAAAAAAATCACACACACACTCACAATCTAGCCAATACTTTAAGTCCTATTTACTTGAGTGGAACAGATTTAAGAACTTGCTTAATTCTTCAATTGAAACCAATAGGACACCAACATGCTTAAATTGACTAGGCTGTTCAGCACAAAACAAGAACATTCTATTTCCATTAAAAGCTTTTGCAGGTAACAATGCAGTGGCAGAGTTTTCAGCATGAAATCTCCTTAGAATTGTAAGTGTTCATCTGCACAGTTGCTAGAAGGAGAAACTGCCACATCTACACTGGGGTAATCAACATCTTATGTTTTCAATTTCAATTGAAGGCAAACAGACAAGGAAAAAGAAGAGACCATGTGTCGACCATTTGGATCCTATTTAGGATTCAGACTAGTAGAAAGAATTCAGATAAGTTTGCCAAGTTTCTAAATATAGTAATTTAGGTAACTACATCTTCACTTGACTGTGCGTAAACTAAAAATTATGTAATCAAACAAATAACAAAGCTTCCAAATCCAAGTAACTCCCTCTAGGGGTCCTGGTATATCATGTTACAGGACATTTGAGCTTTACTGGGAATGGAAATCCAACTCTTCACTTCCTTTGCAAAAAGTTAAGCAAATTCAGAAATCTTTCTTTGTATTGTTGTCACCCTGCAATTGTCAAACACATGCGCTAGATAGCTTAACATAAGTTTACATCTAACACAGGAATGCTAATGTTGAAGAAAACACTCATTTCTAATGAGAACAAAGGAAGTTAACCTTTAGAACAGTGAACTGTAGATGAAGAGGAAGCAGACAGAACAAACTGCTTTCCCTTTTAAATCAGCACATCAAAAACAACTGCTAATAATTTGATGCATAATATTAATACCTTGGATTAAAGTTGGTAATCACACGAAAACCCCCCCCCCCACATGCATAAAGCTAGAAAGCACATAGTATCTCCCTTATATATAAAAGCTGAATGGTGGTGGCACTTCTCTAGAACATTCCACACGCTCCGGAATTGGTTGGCGCCCTGGTGTGTCACTCAGAATCTGTCCCTATCCACTGGCTGCATTGCTTGAGTCTCGCCTCCAACATTTTAAACAGTTTGCTGTTCCCCTCCCCCCCATAGCCACTCAGAACACAGAGGTTATTTGCATATGCAGCCTCATTGGCCTTTGCCTCGGAACACAGAGGTCGTTTGTATATATGACTTGATTGGCTTTTGCCTCTAACATTCTAAACAGTTTGCTGTTCTGAGGTAAAATGTGTCCAATCTCCAGGTGCGGGCTGGAGATCACTCAGAATTACAACTGCTTTCCACATGGCAGAGATCAGTTCCCCCGGAGAAAATGGTGGGCTCTGTATCCTTATATGCTGCTGAGGTAGCCCCCATATGACAGCCAATGTGACGTAGCAGTCAGGGCTTCAGAGCACAGGAGAGGCTGCAGGTGTGTGGGGGGAAATAAAGGTAGGTTGATGATTGGCTGGGAAGGAGATAGAGTTGCCAACTCCAGGTGGGAAATTCCTGGATATGTGAGGGATGGAGCCTGGAAAGGGTGAGGTTTCAGGAGGCGTGGGACCTCGGACAGGTACAAAGCCATAGACTCCACCCTCCAAACCAACCATTCCCTTCTGGGGAACCATCGTTGCCAATCTCCAGGTGAGGGCTGGAGATCACTCAACATTACAACTGTTCTTTAGGTAACAGAGATCAGTTCCTCTGGAGAAAAGGGTGGACTCAGTGTCATTATACCCTGCTGAGGTCGCCACAGCAAATTGACACTGAATGTCCAAGGCTGAGGTCCAAAGCCCAGAGTATCTTTCTAGATCTCGTTGTATTTATTTCCACAACGGGCCTTTTTCCTAGTCATCTATATACTATTAGTGATGTGTGGCCTCCCATCTGCAGATATCTAAATCCACGGACTGGGGCCACGTGGATGCTAGACGGAACTTTCTTCAAACTTGGGGGATTTGCATTGCCTGCGCCCGCACAGAACAATGCAGCTAGGGTAGCCACTCCAGCTCTGCATCAATGCCAGCAGCTGCTCCAGGCCCAGTGGTGCTGGACGCCAGCAACCACTGCAGGCCTGGGCATGGAGGAGGACACAAGCAGCCGCTGCAGCCCCAGGTGCATCAGAGAAGGACACTGGCTGCTGCTTTAGGTCTGGAGTGGCAGCTGGCATCCTTCTCTGCTGCAGCTGGGGCTGCAGAGGACACTGGCCAGCTGCTGTGGGCCTGAGCACAGCAGTGAACAACAATGGCAGCCACTGTGAGCCAAGTGGTTGGTGGTGGGGACTGAAGCCTCACCAGCCTCAGCGATTTGGGGGGGGGGGTATGGGATTCCTTCTCTGTGCACTTGTTTTATATTCGAACAGTATTTTCAGCCAAATCTGAGGATACTTCAATCCGGTGACTGGGGCTGTGAATGGGTGAGACCAGAGGTGGCCAAGCTGGCTTGGGAGCCACATGCGGCTCTTTCACACACATTGTGCAGCTCCCGGCAGGGCGGCTGGGAAAGTGAAGGGGAGGCATGCCCCCCCCCCCGATTGGTCTTCCCTTCCCCAGCCAGTGTTCCCCTCCCTGGGTAGGCTTGAGGTAGGGGGGAGCAGAGAGAGAAAGCAACTTTAACTTTAAATGCATTCTCAAAGCCCCCTTCCCCCACCGGCCAGCTTGGAGAAGGCATTTGTCTCTTCATGTTAATGATTGTGGGGGTTTTAAAATCATTTTATCATGTTTTGTTTTGTGAGGTGTCTGAAGAGTTTGTTTTCTGAATATATAACTAAATGAACTAAAAGAGTAAAACAGAATGCTGAAATACAGGAGATTTATTTGAAATTGCCACCACTAACCCATGAAAAGACACTTGCCTTTTCAGCTGGGCTAACGATTACAGCGGACGCTTCAAAGATAACCTAATTCCATTTTTGCATACACAGCTTTACAGCCTCATGGGAAAACACTGCAGCTAAATTTTAACTCTGAAGTTTTTCAAGCATCCTTCAGTGTGGCAGTCCACAAAAGACCAAGCAAGCCACAACAGGTCCTGAACATAGCTAAGATGAAGAAGCAAAGTGGCTCAAGGGTGTCCAAATCCGCCTTGTTTGCCTTGCACAGTATCTCACGATATTTGCTGTTGCGCAAGCCCGTTTGTGTGTTGTCAATGAACAACATGTCTCTGCCTGTACTACACCAGCTAATGCGGGGGATATTATCAGGTCAGCTGGAAGCATCGCTATAGCAAAAAGTAACTGATTACCAGAAAGAAGAACTGGTTTTAGTTAAACTGATCAAACATGTTTGCAACAACCCTCGGCATACTTTCTTGGAGAAGAAAGCCCCACTGAGCTCTTTGGAGAGTACATTTAACTAGACTGACTGGAGTGTGAGATAATCATTTAAAGAGTAATAAACAAAGATAAAATAGCAACAAAAACTTACCTCAGTTGCTTTGCATAATTCTGTTCAATTTCTATCCTTTCTTTGACAAATTTTGCATATTTTTCCAAGAAGTCGATGCCCCACTGTGTGTGCTTGTCTAAATTATCAAACTGATCCTTTAAAAAAAAAAAGAAGAAGAACAAAGAAACCTGCATTATATCAAGACATACAGTAGTGGTGATATTTGTTATTTACAAAGCACATAACCAGTTAGGTACTACATAAAATGTTTGAAAGGCAATCCAAGCTTCAACATGGAGGTTCCATTTAGTTGTCCATGTATTTAACCTTCTTTAACAATAAGCTAAACTGGCATTAGGCCTTCGGACAGTGAGTTCCATAAATTCAACATATATTGAGTGAAGCAGCACTTACTTTTTCCACTGTATCTGAGGAAGTGTGCTTGCACATGAAAGCTTATACTGTGAACAAAACTTTGTTGGTCTTAAGGGTGCCACCGGACTCAAACTTTTTCTTTTGCCTACCAATTTCATTAATTTCTCTATTTCCTCCACACCATTCATAGTTGTTTCATAGGAGTTTTATCATCCCCACCACCACTTTCATTTCTAAATTATAAAACCCTCAGTGTTTTAGGATGCAAATCAAGTCACAGAGAAAAAGGAAATACAAAAGGAAATCTCAAATGCCCAGAGGCTACATATGCTTATGACCAGAATCTTGTTCCCCAGCTGGAGGTCTAACACTTCTAACTGAAAACTTGCACTTCAGGCAGAAAGAAATGTGAGTTTATCACATTTTTAGAGGGTTGTCTAGCTGCAGCTGTAACATTCAACAATTTAGTATTTAACTGTATGATACTGTTTTTAAAAAGGTCTCAAACTGCCATTCATTCTACATTAAATTATTTCTCAAATTAATCTGCATTTAACCATGATTAAAGGCTACTAACGCAAGAAACAGCAAAATATGAAATAACATGAGGTAACAAAGGTAAGCCTAGTTTTACCCTTACAACCCTACTTTATATTATCCCCTCCATATCCAACATACATGGAAATACGGAACCAGTATTATAACCAAAGTAGCCTTGATGACATGAATTAATCGCTCAGCTCTTCAACACATAATGTTCAGTTATCAAGAAGAAACATGAATGTCTGGTACTGACAGAGTTGATATATTGATCCATGATGACCTGCTCAGGCACAGTAATGCTCTACTCTGCAATAATGTTAAAACACCTCTAGAATGGGGTAGAGACAAAGAGGAAGAAAAAAAAATGTATATATACGTACGTGTGTGTGTGTGTATGTATATATACACACACATATACATACATACACACACAAATACACCCAATATATGTGAAAGTTTAATTCAGAACTATAGCCACATTCTTTTTGGTGAAGTACCATCCACCCTTGGACCCAAGCACTGCACATGCTACATTATATCATTCTACCACGTTATACCTGCGTGGACCCTAATCTGGGAGAACTGGGTTTGACTCCCCATTCCTCCACTTGCAGCTGCTGGATAACTTTGGGCAAGCCATGGTCCTGTCAGAGCTGTTCTTGAAAGACCAGTTCTCGAAAGAGCTCTCTCAGCCCCACCTACCTCACAGGGTGTCTGTTGTGGGGAGGGGAAGGGAAAGGAGTTTGTAAGCAATTCTGAGTGAAGGGCGGGGTATAAATCCAATCTCTTCTCTTCTTCCTCTAGCCTGACTATATACTAAGGAGGAGAGAAGCCAAGAAATGGAGGATGAAAAAGGAGTACTATGACATATATTGATTTGAAATACCCTTATGTCATATTTTTTCAGTTAATAAATTATAGCATCAATATATCTCAATATATATCTCAATATATATTTTCAACTTTGTCCCCTCTGTGGACACTTACATCCAGAGATAGGGGCCATGAACAGACCAGACAAATCTTTCTGTAATTCTGCAGAAAAATCTGAGATCTTTTTTTAAAGAACACATTAAAGGTAAAGGTTCCCTTGCTCAAAAGCCAGTCGAATCTGACTCTAAGGTTGCGCTGCTCATCTCCGTTTCAAAGCCAAAGAGCCAGCACTGTCCGAAGACATTTCCGTGGTCATGTGGCCAGCATGACTAAACACCAAGGCGCACAGAACACTGTTACCTTCCCACCGAAATGGTACCTATTTATCTACTTGCAATTTCTTGCTTTCGAACTGCTAGGTTGGCAGGAGCTGGAACTAGAGATGGGAGCTCACTCCATCATGTGGCACCCGGGTCTCGAACTGCTGAACTACTGGCCTTCCACAGCCTGCAGTTCAGCGTCTTAACCACTTGAGCCACTGCAGCTCCTAAAAAGAATACATTGGGGGGTTAAAAAATCCAAAGTAAAAGCAGCAGCTGCACCTTTAAGAAGCAAATTGAGACCTCGTTAGCTGTTACTAGGCAACCACAACAGTATTCCCAGCATTTAGCCTTGGCTTCTATCAGTAAAAGGAAGGGAGAGGGATCAGAGCCCTTTCCAAGACAGTTCCTTTGATGGAGGATTCACTGGGTCTAGGCCCAAGAGCAACCACTGTGCAAATTCCAACCACATGATTTGCATGATTCACCTAGATCCAGCTGCTTGCTCCTGTTCAACAGCAAGCACCACACAAAAGTCAGCATGGTATAATACAGGGGTGGCCAAACTAGGGTTTGGGAGCCACATGCATATCTTTCACAGATACTGTGCAGCTCCTGGCAGGGTGACTGTGGAAGCAAAGTGAGGCATGCCTCCCCTATCAAGTCTCCCCTTCCCGACTTCCAATTTAAGCGTTTCGCCTTTCGGACACGTCTTGTCTCGCTTAGATGGAGACGCGCAGAGACCCAGCTGACAGAAGGGGTTCGAGTTCGTCCCGGAAACCCCCAGCCTGGGGAGCTGAGGAGAGCCTCTTCCAAGGGGACGCCCAAGGAATTGAGGCTCACCTTCTTCCCCGATAGGTACCGTTGCCGCAGAGCCAGCATGGCACCCAGAGACGACTGACGGAGCAAGCAATCACGACCAAACTTCTAAAAAGACTTCCAAAAGATCTCCAAGGCTACAAACTGTGAGTTAAGCAAAGCTCAGGTGAAAAATAAGCGAATGGAGCCTTGGTAGTAATCGGAAGCGCCTACGTTTGAAGCACGGGGGGAGGAGATTTCAAGCCCCCCCCCCGAGTAAACTGTAAAAACGGTTTTAAAGTGAAAATAAAGAGACTTTGAGCCAAACCAAGTGTATTAGAAGTTAAGCGAACACAAAAGCTACTAAAATATATGAAGCAGAATTAAAACGCATAACTTTTGCTTTGTTTTGGAAAACTTACTTCTTGTTGATATTATGGCTGGGAGAGGACAGAGAGTGCCGGAGAAAAAACTGGTGACCGGAAATAACATTGCAACAACTCCCTCCCAGAACCAGGAAGCATCTACAGACTTCTCTTCGTTGTTAGCAAATGCACTGTGCCCTCTAATGGATCAGATGACTACTCTCAACACCAAACTAGAAAATGTGCAAAAACAATTAAAGCAGATGGACAAGAGAACCACAGCAACTGGGAAAACGTTGGAAAAGATGGAAAAACAGACTGAGAGTATTAATAACAGAGTGGATGAAGCAGAGAATGAGAGATCCTCAGATAAAACCCAACTAATACAGCTCCAGCTGGAAAGATCCAGGTATGTTCTACGTTTCCATGGAATACCTGAGGATAAGAATGAGGCTTAAAGGAACTCTTGGCGGTTGCCTTGGCCCCACTAATGGATTATAAACAAGACTTAATTAAGGAAATGGATGTGATGTACAGGACTTATCCGGATTTTATAAAGAAAAATAAACTTCCAGGGAAAACTTACTTAAGATTCACGAAACGATCAACCAGAGAACTGGTGCTAAAGTCAACAATGGGAAAATCCTTAAAAATCACGAATGAAGAGATAAAAATTTTGAAAGACATCCCATTTGAAGTAAGGAAACGGAGGAAACTATACAGGATGCTTACTCTCTCCCTGCAAAAAAAGGGAACACCGTATGGATGGCTATTCCCGGAAGGGTTGAGTTTAAATTACCAGGATAAAAAATATAAAATTGACTTTGTTCCAAAAGTGGAAAGATTTATGGATCAAATGTTTAATGTAAAAAAGCAGAAGGAAAAGAATTTAAAACCGGATGTGGAGGAAGAAGAAGAGGAGGAGGAGTCCTATTCACAGGACTCAACAAGCCAAACTTCCTCGTCATCAGAATCATCTGAATCGGAAAAAAGAGCGGCTACTCCCAAACCGCAGAAAACGAAGAAATCTAAGAAGAAAAGACTCTAAAACTAAAGCATGAGTGCTAAGGGCAGTAATTGTGCCAAGCTAATAACTTTATATTTTTATAATCGAACTAATCTCTGTATAACCTGTACTAATAGTTTTAAAAGATCTATTCTTTTAGCTTTTCAGATCGTGATTTGTATTAGTCTTTACCCTATCCCCATATCCAGTAGGAGATTTAGAATAGAATGGTAGTTTTTCTTCCCCTATCCAGTAGACTATATGTATCTAGATCTCTCTAACCCACTTCCCATAGTAATAGTGATAGGGCATTAGTATCCCTTTCCCCATTCCATATTTGTAGTGTGTAGAAAATGCAAAAAAAAAAACCCTTTGGGGGGGGGTCAAAAAAAGGGGGGGAGTCATCCCTTTCCCAGCCAGTGTTCCCCTCCCTAGGTAGGCTTGAAATGGGGGGAGCAGAAAAGGAAAGCAACTTTAACTTTAAATGTGTTCTCAAAGCCCCCCCCCCCAAGCTGGCTTGGAGAAGGCTTGTCTCTTTAAATCCCTTCTCCAACTGGCATAAGGTCATGGGTGGGGGCTTGGAAGACACATTTGAAGTTGCTTTCTTTCCACCTCTCCCTCCCTTCCCCCCACTATTTGCTTTCTTTCCACTTTCCTTTCTCTCTCTCTCTCTCCCCCCATCTAAAGTTAAATGTGGTCTCCAAGCCCCGCCACACCGGTCAGTTGGCTTGGCTCGGAGAAGGCATTTGTGTCTTTAAATCCCTTCTCCAAGGCAAGCTAGCATGGCAGCGGGGGGGTTGGAGAACACATTTAAAGTCAAAAGCGTTCTCAAAGCCCTTACCCTATGGCACGGCCCACCAGCTTAAAGAAGGCAT